CATGACCTCATGTACTCTCTTCAAAATATTTCTTTGGAGCTGTCGAACACCTTTTTTAAATAAATTTGATATTCGATTTTCCATTTATTGGTCTGTTCCCGAACCGCATGAATCAACTCGATTTTACTATTTTCTTCGATATCATAAAGGAAAAAAGTGTTATCGGAGTAAAAAATGGTAGATTCTTGCAGTACGGGAACATACCATATGTTGGTGTAACTGCCATGACGCCTTCAGTATCGATCCCTGAGCTTTCTAGACGTGGATTTTTAAAGAATATTTGTGAGCGTAACCTGAGCTTTCTAGGCGTGAATTTTTAAAGAATATTTTTATGCGTAACCTGAGCTTTCTAGGCGTAAATTTTTAAAGAATATTTTTTTGCGTAACCTGAGCTTTCTAGTCGTGAGTTTTTAAAGAATATTTTTTTTTGCGTAACCTGAGCTTTCTAGGCGTGAATTTTTAAAGAATATTTTTTTGCGTAACCTGAGCTTTCTAGGCCTGAATTTTTAAAGAATATTTTTATCCGTAACCTGAGTTTTCAAGGCGTGCATTTTTATTACTATGGTAAAGCGTAACCTAAAGTATAAACAATATACCAGCAGACAATTGATAGGGGCCTTATCAATTTATAAAAAAAAAATCCTTCATTCAAGCCTTATCAATTTTTTACGTTTTCAAATAAATACAATGACCTATTGTGTATATTTATTTAATGTTTGACAGAAGAAGCCACTACCAACAGAATAGCTTTTTTTTGTTATCCACCTCAAGTTATTCTATAGGACCCTCTTTTGACATAAGCAATGCTTATGTATTAATCGCTTATTATTCCGTTTTTAGTGAAGAACTAATTTTTACTCTCAAAAATTTTAAATGTCAAAGAAGAAAAGCTACAGAAATTACAGCTACCAAAATACGTTAAATTATATAACAATTCTTATTGGAAAATCCTGCATAAAGTTTTAAATATTTGATTTTGTCAACTAAATATTTATTTTTGGCGTTCAAAGTAATTTTAAAGGAAAAAGTATTTAAATATTATTAAATTCAATGATTTATTTTGCTAAAACACGTTTAATGTAAACAAAGCCATGTTAACAAAACCGTTACGTCTAATGCCACCTTAATTTAACTCGAGAGAGTCGCATACATCCAACATTGAAGCATGGCAATCCATTTCTTATCAGTTTATTTGCCGTTCATCTGTCAAAAAATATCGATAACACTGTCATTGGTACATTTCCCAGTTATCGATAGTATCCTCGTTTTTGCGGTAGGCAAAGAAGTTGTGTGATTTTGTAATAGGGCTTTTTTCAGTTAATTCTCGTATTAAATAATACAAAAAAGGTATGGAAGTGTAAAAAATAAATCGTAGCAAAGAAGATGTATATGAATGATAAAGAATAAGAGATGATTTATGGTGTAAATAATGAAGAACAAAGTGATTTAAATGCCGCCTGCGAAAAATCTAACCTAAAAAATGTGAAATGATGAAATTACACTTTGCTCGAATGCAATAGAACAAAACGAAACTTGCATGTTTTTTTGTTGAGTGTTTGTGTGTGTGAATTTAAAGTGATAATAAGACTAATTTACTGTTCAATGTGTTTCTTCCAGTAAAAAATAATGGCTGCTCAATTCTTCAATCGCATTGGTCAACTCGGTTTGGGTGTTGCTTTGGTCGGCGGTGTTGTCAACTCGGCATTATATAATGTGGATGGTGGTCATCGTGCCGTAATTTTCGATCGTTTTACCGGTGTCAAGAATGAAGTTACCGGTGAGGGTACCCATTTCTTCATCCCCTGGGTGCAACGTCCCATTATCTATGATATCCGCTCACAGCCCCGTAATGTCCCCGTGGTGACTGGCAGTAAGGATTTACAAAATGTCAATATTACCCTGCGTATCTTGTATCGTCCCATTCCCGATCAATTGCCAAGAATTTATACCATTTTGGGTCAAGATTACGATGAAAGGGTTTTGCCTTCCATTGCTCCTGAAGTCTTGAAGGCTGTGGTGGCTCAATTTGATGCCGGTGAATTGATTACACAGCGTGAGGTAAGATCTTGAAATTCAAAATTTGTTGTTGTTGTTTTTCTTAATAATTTTGTAAATGTTTCCAGATCGTTTCCCAACGTGTCTCCGATGAATTGACCGAACGTGCCAAACAATTCGGTTTCATTTTGGACGACATCTCCATTACCCACTTGACCTTCGGTCGTGAATTCACCCAAGCCGTTGAAATGAAACAGGTTGCCCAGCAAGAAGCCGAAAAGGCCCGCTTCGTTGTCGAAAAGGCCGAACAACAAAAATTGGCTGCCATTATTTCCGCTGAGGGTGATGCCGCCGCCGCCGAACTCTTGGCCAAATCCTTTGCCGAGGCCGGTGATGGTTTGGTTGAGTTGCGTCGTATTGAAGCTGCCGAAGATATTGCCTATCAACTATCCAGATCCCGTGGTGTGGCCTACTTGCCCGGCAATCAAAGCACATTGCTTAACCTGCCCAGCAACACCTTGGCCCAATAAACAGCAGTTACTACTTTAGATGGATATTAAGTTTTAGCATTTAAATATCGTTTTTTCTAATGCGCGAGAAAAAGAAGAAGAAGAAAGCACACACATCTACACAACCTCCCCCAACAAAAAAATCCAATCCCCAACCAAAACTTTTTTCGTAAAAAAGTTGAAAAACCTGTTAACTTTTAATTTTTGTTAGACCCAGCTAACTCTAAAGAAGAAAAAAAACAATCCCAAGAAATATTTCAACTCTTTGAAAGAGTATTTCGAACATCTTTTTAATTTTTTTAATCGTAAGAATTTTTGTTAAGTCAAAGAAACTCATTAAACCACAAAAATGGGGCCCCATTCGTTCCCATCGCTCCTTGGCCATTAATCATCTAAAATTTAATTACACTATGACTTTTATTTTATTACCTAAGTCTGTAATTCAGTTTTTTTTACCACTACATTTTAACTTAATTGGTAATATTGGTTAATGGTTCCAGGGTGCATGTTTGGGTCCCCAAGTTTGTTTTACAAAACATAATTGAGTTGTGTTAATTTTTTTCTTATTGGTTTAAGAATTTTTTGTAAATTTCTAAGTACAATAAAACAACAAAAAGTTATTAAAAATAATAAAAATCAAAACTACAACAACAATTCAATGATGAACTTAAGGAAATCTCTTCATGGGGGCTGTTATAGGCGAGCTGAATAGAGCCTCTATAGGCGAGCTGAAAGGGAGCCTCTATAGGCGAGCTGAAAGGCAGCCTCTATAGGCGAGCTGAAAGGCAGCCTCTATAGGCGAGCTGAAAGGCAGCCTCTATAGGCGAGCTGAAAGGCAGCCTCTATAGGCGAGCTGAAAGGTAGCCTCCATAGGCGAGCTGAAGGGCAGCCTCTATAGGCGAACTGAAAGGGGCCTCTATAGGCGAGCTGAAAGGGAGCCTCTACAGGTACATTGAAATTGACAAATCCACGCATTGAAAAAGTATTTTGAAAAAAAATCCACGCCTTGGGTTATGGACTTTGAAAAAAATATTTTGAAAAAAATCCACGCCTTGGGTTATGGACCTTGAAAAAAATCCACGCCTTGGGTTATGGACCTTGAAAAAAATCCACGCCTTGGGTTATGGACCTTGAAAAAAATCCACGCCTTGGGTTATGGACCTTGAAAAAAATCCACGCCTTGGGTTATGGACCTTGAAAAAAATCCACGCCTTGGGTTATGGACCTTGAAAAAAATATTTTTAAAAAATCCACGCCTTGGGTTATGGACCTTGAAAAAAATATTTTTAAAAAAACCTCGCCTTGGGCTATGGACCTTGAAAAAAATATTTTTAAAAAATCCACGCCTTAAAAAAATATTTTTAAAAAATCCACGCCTTAAAAAAATATTTTTAAAAAATCCACGCCTTAAAAAAATATTTTTAAAAAATCCACGCCTTAAAAAAATATTTTTAAAAAATCCACGCCTTAAAAAAATATTTTTAAAAAATCCACGTGTTAAAAAAATATTTTTAAAAAATCCACGCCTTAAAAAAATACTTTTAAAAAATCTACGCCTTTAAAATTTTTTTTAAAAAATCCACGCCTTAAAAAATATTTTTAAAAAATCCGCGCCTTAAAAAATATTTTTAAAAAATCCACGCCTTAAAAAATATTTTTTTAAAAATCCACGCCTTAAAAAAATATTTTTTAAAAAATCCACGCCTTAAAAAATATGTTTAAAAAATCCCCGCCTTAAATTTTTTTTTTTTTAAAAATCCATGCCTTAAAAAAATATTTTTAAAAAATCCACGCCTTAAAAAAATATTTTTAAAAAATCCACGCCTTAAAAATATTTTTAAAAAATCCACGCATAAAAAATATTTTTAAAAAATCCACGCCTTAAAAAAATATTTTTAAAAAATCCACGCCTTAAAAAATATTTTTAAAAAATCCACGCCTTAAAAAATATTTTAAAAAATCCACGCTTAAAAAAATACTTTTAAAAAATCCGCGCTTAAAAAAATATTTAAAAAAAATCGACGCCTTAAAAAATATTTTTAAAAAACCCACGCCTTAAAAAATATTTTTAAAAAAATCCACGCCTTAAAAAATAGTTTCAAAAAATCCACGCCTTAAAAAGTATTTTTAAAAAAATCCACGCCTTAGAAAAATATTTTTACAAAAATCCAAGCCTTAGAAAATATTTTTAAAAAATCCACACCTTGGGTTATGGACCTTGAAAATAATATTTTTAAAAAATCCACGGCTTGTGTTATGGACCTTAAAAAAAAATATTTTAAAACATTTTTTTTTAAATATTGAATTTGTCTTGTTTTTTGAAATTTTCTAGTCTTTATTAATTGGTTTTTAAATTTTCTATTTTATTACTTAAACGGATATATAAATGCACTTTGGGTGGAAGACAATTGGGTTAATGGCACGGACAATTACAGCCTTCAAAAGGTGACCTCCATAATTTCACCTTTTCCTCAAAATTTTTAGCTGAGGTCCTCCTCAATCCCTTTTCTTGGGATTTGCATTAATCGGCGCGATATGACCATGTGGCAGTTGATAGTTCAAACGCAACACGGCATCATTGGGTCCATAAAATTCAATGCGATGCATTTTCTCCACACCCTCACGAAATTCTTTGGCTGTCTTGTCGATTTTTTCAATTTCCGGTTTGCAATTTTCTACCGAATACCGATCATCACCAGGCAAGAGATTGACACGAGAATCCTTACACATATATTCTATGGGTAGGGTAACATCGAGACCTTCATGGCGTCGTTGTAGGGCAAAATTTTTCAAATCTTCCAGCTGGGTGAAATTCAACAGACGGGAAAGTTCATAGATTTGTGGTGGTGGCAGCCAGATTTCTTTGTTGAAATGTTGTTGCAGATACTCGGCTGGGGTGCGCCACTAAAGGAGAGGAAGGGGATGCGTTAAGTGAATAAATTAATTTCGGAATTTTGGTAACTTACCGCAAAATCGGTGACCTCATTCTTCTCTTTTATTACATCCGGAATTGTTTGCAGGGCAATCATAAAGAAGGCTGTGTTGAATCTAAAAAAGGAAACGATAATTTTTTACAACGTCGATGGAGAGCTATTGGGAGCCTATAGCTCGCCTATAGAGGCTCCCTATAGCTCGACTATAGAGGCTCCCTATAGCTCGCCTATAGAGGCTCCCTATAGCTCGCCTATAGAGGCTCCCTATAGCTCGCCTATAGAGGCTCCCTATAGCTCGCCTATAGAGGCTCCCTATAGCTCGCCTATAGAGGCTCCCTATAGCTCGCCTATAGAGGCTCCCTATAGCTCGCCTATAGAGGCTCCCTATAGCTCGCCTATAGAGGCTCCCTATAGCTCGCCTATAGAGGCTCCCTATAGCTCGCCTATAGAGGCTCCCTATAGCTCGCCTATAGAGGCTCCCTATAGCTCGCCTATAGAGGCTCCCTATAGCTCGCCTATAGAGGCTCCCTATAGCTCGCCTATAGAGGCTCCCTATAGCTCGCCTATAGAGGCTCCCTATAGCTCGCCTATAGAGGCTCCCTATAGCTCGCCTATAGAGGCTCCCTATAGCTCGCATATAGAGGCTCCCTATAGCTCGCATATAGAGGCTCCCTATAGCTCGCCTATAGAGGCTCCCTATATCTCGCCTATAGAGGCTCCCTATATCTCGCCTATAGAGGCTCCCTATAGCTCGGCTATATTGGCTCCCTTTAGGTCGCCTATAGAGGCCTATTTTACCATTTCTAGAAATTCTCCCTTCTCACCTTTTCTTAAACGAAGTCGGTGTAAACCAATTCGACCATTGATGTAGACTCCACAGATCCGGTACAATTTCCAGCTCCTGACATAATTCCAAAAATTTGTTGCTATCGTTATGAACCAACTTCTGCCAATGGTTGCGATCAAAGTCCTCTCTAAAATTACCATAACCTTCCCCACCGCCTTGGGCCAAAGATTTACGATCGCGGCAAAAGATAACACCCAACTCTTCGAAGGCCTCACGGACAGCAGCAATGCGCAGGGAAATTTCCCTAAAGAAAAAAGTTCTGAAATCCGTTCTACATTTAAAATTCCAATTTTACATACCTCTCAATAGCCTCCGGATTGTCATTATCATAAATAGCCGATTTCTTATCCTTAGGTACCTCGGTCAGTGCCGACAGCTGTTTGCTGGCACCCATTTTTTCAAAATGTTTTCTCCATAGAGGTGTCTCATCGGAGGCCTCGAAAACACCACCGGGGAATACAGCGGAATTTGGCATAAATGAGGCCTGTGGAGGCCTCTTGAAAAGCAAAGCTTTGAAGTCGGGATTCTGTGCCGTTTTATCACGGGCCAAGATAATTAAACTGGCGGATTTTCGAAACTTTGCGGCAGCTCCTTGCATGGCCATTTTTGAAGAACTGAATTTCAGTGGGTCAAATGGGGGAAGAATGGTAGGCCACCAATGTTATCACTGTTATCTGCGTCAGCTGCCTGATAAACAACATTTGGGAAAGAGTCACCTGTTGCACAACAAAATTTCAAAGCCGGCCAAATTTAAAAACGTTCCAGAAATCTTATTCAGCTGATTGAATTTGGTGGTTACCATAAGTAGTGACGTACGCGGATTTTTTACAAATATTTTTTCAAGGGCCCATAGCCCTAGGCGTGGATTTTTTACAAATATTTTTTCAAGGGTCCATAGGCATGGATTTTTTACAAATATTTTTTCAAGGGTCCATAGCCCTAGGCGTGGATTTTTTAAAAATATTTTTTCAAGGGTCCATAGCCCTAGGCGTGGATTTTTTAAAAATATTTTTTCAAGGGTCCATAGCCCTAGGCGTGGATTTTTTAAAAATATTTTTTCAAGGGTCCATAGCCCTAGGCGTGGATTTTTTAAAAATATTTTTTCAAGGGTCCATAGCCCTAGGCGTGGATTTTTTAAAAATATTTTTTCAAGGGTCCATAGCCCTAGGCGTGGATTTTTTAAAAATATTTTTTCAAGGGTCCATAGCCCTAGGCGTGGATTTTTTAAAAATATTTTTTCAAGGGTCCATAGCCCTAGGCGTGGATTTTTTAAAAATATTTTTTCAAGGGTCCATAGCCCTAGGCGTGGATTTTTTAAAAATATTTTTTCAAGGGTCCATAGCCCTAGGCGTGGATTTTTTAAAAATATTTTTTCAAGGGTCCATAGCCCTAGGCGTGGATTTTTTAAAAATATTTTTTCAAGGGTCCATAGCCCTAGGCGTGGATTTTTTAAAAATATTTTTTCAAGGGTCCATAGCCCTAGGCGTGGATTTTTTAAAAATATTTTTTCAAGGGTCCATAGCCCTAGGCGTGGATTTTTTAAAAATATTTTTTCAAGGGTCCATAGCCCTAGGCGTGGATTTTTTAAAAATATTTTTTCAAGGGTCCATAGCCCTAGGCGTGGATTTTTTAAAAATATTTTTTCAAGGGTCCATAGCCCTAGGCGTGGATTTTTTAAAAATATTTTTTCAAGGGTCCAGGCGTGGATTTTTTAAAAATATTTTTTCAAGGGTCCAGGCGTGGATTTTTTAAAAATATTTTTTCAAGGGTCCAGGCGTGGATTTTTTAAAAATATTTTTTCAAGGGTCCAGGCGTGGATTTTTTAAAAATATTTTTTCAAGGGTCCAGGCGTGGATTTTTTAAAAATATTTTTTCAAGGGTCCAGGCGTGGATTTTTTAAAAATATTTTTTCAAGGGTCCAGGCGTGGATTTTTTAAAAATATTTTTTCAAGGGTCCAGGCGTGGATTTTTTAAAAATATTTTTTCAAGGGTCCAGGCGTGGATTTTTTAAAAATATTTTTTCAAGGGTCCAGGCGTGGATTTTTTAAAAATATTTTTTCAAGGGTCCAGGCGTGGATTTTTTAAAAATATTTTTTCAAGGGTCCAGGCGTGGATTTTTTAAAAATATTTTTTCAAGGGTCCAGGCGTGGATTTTTTAAAAATATTTTTTTCAAGGGTCCAGGCGTGGATTTTTTAAAAATATTTTTTCAAGGGTCCAGGCGTGGATTTTTTAAAAATATTTTTTCAAGGGTCCATAACCCTAGGCGTGGATTTTTTAAAAATATAGAGTTTCCCCTCCGTTCTACCATTTCCATTTAATTTTATTAAATTTCTCTTCTCGAATTTCCATAGGAAATTAAATTCTTTTCTTTCCTTGTTTTCTTAACTGATTCCCCCCAACCTCCTCCCACCTCCCTGGTCCTTAATTTCTTCCACTTCAACTCCCAATAAATCAATCTCAGCAGCCACTATTATGTGCCATGGTCATCATCAAGGAGATAAGTCCTTGTGGAAATAAAAGAGATAGAAGAACCAACAACTCCTTCAAAGAAAGCACTTAACGACTGCAACAAGTGGTCGAGTGGGGTGGAGGAGGGGAGACATGATGTCGGAATGGGGGATTTTCCAAATGATTCCACTTAACATTTTCCTTTTTCTTTTGTGTGTTGGTGTGTCTCCTTTGCATAAAAGAAACATTAAGAAAAGAAAGAGGAAGAGAAATGGAAACATTTTTTCGGGGGTGGGGGTAAAAAGAGGTTTAGGGATGCCAGGGTGGAAAATATAGAAGTCAGGACACGATAAAGGAGGGCTATAAAATATAGAAACTTTTTCTTTTAATTGACCAAAAACCAGGTCTATAAATTTTTATAAGGTGTCTTGGATATCGGATGTTGACATTTTTTGGGGTTTAGCATCCTTTTAGGAAAATTGAGGTTAGGTCTGATCTGAAAATTTTCTAAATTTTTTTTAAAAATTGAGGATAATATTTACTAGGGTCCAAACTCCTTAATTATTCCCTAAAGGGGCCTCAAAAAAGTTCTCCTCTCTTGATTCCAAACAAAAATTCCATCTCGGAAATCCCACAATTTTCCCCTGCCCTTTTTACCCATATTCCTTTACCCTAAGAATCCTCCATCCCATTGGCCTTAGTCATCCTCATCTGTGTGCCATTAATCTGTTGATTCAGTTGATTGCGAAGCAACAAAAAAATAGAAATCTGAAATCTTAAGTAGCCAAGTTAAACGTCACAAACATGCATTCACTAACCCCCCAACCTATCCCGACCATACCTCTATAATTTCCGCACATATCATTTAACACCTAAATATGGGGGGATTTTTTTCCTTAAATTCCGGCTCCCCTCCATTGCCTACGCAATTTGAGCCAGTTCTTGTTGCTCTGATCTCTGTGCTATTCACGTGAATTTTTCATCTCGGCTGAGGTTGAGGAAATCCCCCAGCCATCGTCAGAGTCACAGTCATCATCATCCGCATCGTCGTCAGCATCGCCATTAACGCCTGGTTTACGACGAACAATAAACGAAGACTGAACGACGTCACAATTGAATTAAAATGTATTTCAATGGAACAAGTTTCAGAAAGGAGGGGGTGGGGAGAAGAAAGGGGGGAAAGGGGAATACAAATAGCCAAAATGGGGAAGGCAGAGATGGGAGTTATGTTCAGTAATTTTTTAAAAATATTTTTCCAAGCATACACACAAGGCGTGGATTTTGAAAACAAATATATTTTTTTTCAAAAAGGCGGGACCATACCCCTATTGGTAACTAAAAGCCAAAACTTCGGATAGTTGAATTTTTATCAGAAAACGTTGCTGAATTGAATTTTTCTAATGGAAATCATCGTTATATGGTGATTTTCTTAAAGGAAAACGTTGCTGAATTAAGTTTTTCTATAAAGCACCCTTGCTGAATTGAGTTTTTTCTATAGAAAACATTTGCTGAATTGAATTTCTCGTAAGAAAACTTTGATTGTAGATCAGAAAAACAGTTTAAACTTAATTTTTTACCTTGCAACAACTTTGCTGAATTGAATTTTCCTAATGAGTATCATCGTTATATGGTGATTTTCTTAAAGGAGAACGTTGCTGAATCAGTTTTTTCTATAGAAAACGATAGTTGCCCTTCCCTCTGAAATTATTTTTTTATTAAAATTAAAATAAAATTAAATATTCACTGCAAAAACTTAGCCGAATTGAATTTTTCTAATGAAAATCATTGTTATATGGTGATTTTATTATAGGAAAACCTTGCTGAATTAAGTTTTTCTATAGATCACCCTTGCTGAATTGAGTTTTTTCTATAGAAAACATTTGCTGAATTGAGTTTCTCGCAAGAAAACTTCGCTGAATTTAATTCTAGGTCAGAATTGAATTTTTCTTCTGTGATTTTCTATAGAAAAACTTTGCTGAATTATGTTTTCTATAGAAAACCCCTTGCTGAATTCCGTTTTTCTAAAGTATAACGAAAAAAAGAAAGAAAAGTTCGCTGAGTTAAATTTTTCATTGCAAAAACTTTGCTGAATTGAATTTTTTTAATAAAAGAATGGCTATATATTAATTTGTAGCAAAAAATCTTTGCTGAATCAAGTTCTTCTATTAGAAATATTTGCTGAATTTAGTTTATCTTAAGAAAACTTCGCTGAATTATATTGTCTATTACCAAAACTGTTTTAAAAATGAATTTTTAATTGCAAAATCTTTGCTGAATTGAATTTTTCTAATGCAAGTCTTCCTTATATGGTGATTTAATACAGAAATGCATTGCTGAATAAAGTTTTTTTTATAAAATTTTTTGATGAATTTAGTTTCTATTAACAACAACTTAGCTTAATTTAATTTTTCCTACAAACAATTTGCTGAATTAAGGTTTTTAATGAAAATCATATTTTTGTGGTGATATGCTACAGCACAACTTTGCTGAATGAACTTTTCTATAAAATACGTTTGCTGAATTCAAATTATTGTAATAAAATTTAGCTGAATTGAACTTTTTATTTCAAAAACTTTTCCAAATTAAAATTTTCATTGAACCTTATAGCCTAGACAGACGACAGCCTTAATTTGCATTAACATCCTTAATTCAAATTAACTTGTACATTATCCTCATTTTTATGTGTTGTTAATGTACAAAATCAAACTGAATTTATACTGAATTAGGCAATTTCAATATGGCAATGCTGTCGAAAATTAATTGTTTCTTGTCAAATTTATTTTTATTTATGAAAATAAAAATAAGAAATGAAGGCAAATTTCAACCATTTCTTAAATTGGGAGCTGTTTAGCTATGATCATAGTTGCTATTCCTCCATTATGTCATGTATCTATTTCCTAAAGATGTAATCCCGAAAAATATCGAAACAAATGTAAAAAAAAATCATCCTACACACAGACAAACAATTGTTTTGAAGCAAAAAACTGTTTCGTAAATGCAGAAACTCTCGTCTGTCAGGGGTAAATATTAATTCAAATTAAGAATTTTTTAATGCAAATTAAGCCTGTCGTCTGTCTATGGTATTACCTTCTGTTGCTACCTACTACGATTGAAGTTCTACCCTATTAAATTATTATATCGGCATACAACCAATT